AGACATTACTAACTTAAACAGGCATGGTGAAACTGGCATAATGTGAAAGATGTCAGACTACTACATGAAAGCTGATTTAAAAATTCACCACAATGCAGTCATTATACATTAGCAGATCCTACATATGTATGTATAACTATGTTAAATGGTTTGTCAAAAGAGTCTGTTTGGTTTCTTTTTTTTTTCTTCATTTAAAGGTGAGATAAAGGTGTAAGTAAAGGTGAGGTGTTTTTTTCCCCCCTCAAAAATAGCATCTTTTACAGTTTACATTTCTTTTGAAATTAATGAATGTATAAATTTGGTAATGAACGGACTTTATTACATTATTTCCAGCTGTATGATATGTCTGTGTGTGTATAACTTTGGCAGAAAGGAGGAAAAAAAATTTTTTTTATTCCCTTTTGGATGTTTGCAAGAGGCTTTTCATAACCTCATGTTGCATTTATGAGATATTTTGATTAAGAGAGTATTTTCATACAGCAGAATTGTAGCATCTTCTCAGTGGCAGCTGTGTTTTTTTTTTTTCTCCAAAAGATGATCTACTGTGGGAATTTGTTTTATTATTTTTTTTTTTTGCTATGCAGGGATATGTGGCATGTAGCTCAAAGCTTTAGTGTAGAAAGCTCCATTTGCATGTTTCTTTAGCTATTAAAACAGCACAAGGCCAATATGCATTGTGTAGTTAAATTAGGAAACCTTGAGCCAGATTGCAAATTTCTGCTGATGATGCTGTGCTACTCAAAAGATTTGTGTTTGTGTAATTAGCATATTTCAAAATCATATTTTAGTGGACAAACTTTAATTCTTTGTCCATTCTGTCATGCAGTGATGAGCTGTGAATTTTTCCTTATGTTTTATATGGTTTATTACAGTTAATGGACGTGAGGAGCAGATGTTATGGGGACAGTTGTTTCATGTAAATTTTGTATAGGATTCCTGGAGAGAAAAAAAATTGATGTGTGATACCCTGTTTGTAATTGATGCAAGAATGGTTTAACGCTCATGACTGTGTGTGACTTTGTGAGTGATTTATGTTTTGTTTCAATTGTTTATTTCATTTGAATATAGCTCACGGTTATAGTATGTATTACAGTATAACTTGAAATAGAATGAATGTGCCATCTGTCCCAAACTTCAATACATTCATATGAGAGATAACAGTAGGGTTTTTCTTTGTGAATGTGGAAAAGTATCTAAATCGGGGGATATATATATTTTTTTTTTGTAATTTTCCAGAGGAAACACTTAAACATTTAAATTTGTAAACTGTTTCTTATTGAATTGAGTGTAGTAAATAATTTTTGTGAATCTACATTTTTTTCTGATTTGTCCGATTTGAACATAAATTTGTCACTCGAATGTGTTCATAAATCTTATTAAATTGTGTCCTATATTGTTATTTTTTATTATTATATGCCTATTTCCTATTTATTATTAGTAGTAGTAGTAGTAGTAGTACTTCCTAATTGGAAACATAGCTGTTTATTAGATGAGGGTTTTAAAATGACTAGTTATTACAGTAGCCTAGCCTACCTAGTCCGGAGTTTTAAATATTTCATTTAGACACTAAGGATCCATTGCATAAATCGAATGACTAAACTCTAGTTCTGTTTGGTTGTTTTTATAATTCTATGTATATCTAACAGTTCAGTTTATGGGAGCCCAAGCGACCTCCAAAGCCCATTCAATGACCTTCACGCAAATGCCCTTTTGTGTTCGCTCTCTCAAACCCGCTTAATTTTTACGTAGTGATTGACAGGTAACCCGACCAATAGCCATTTAGCTTTGGTTTTGTCGAGCTGAAAGTAGGAGGGCTACAGGGCGGAGTCGTAAGGGGAGTCTGACTCGTTTCCATGAATCGGTTCTTTTGAACAGTTCGTCTGAATGAACTCACTGAGGAATTCTTTTACGTCTTGACGTAATTGCGTCACCGCTGCGCAGAAACTTTTTTTCTATCACATTTTGTAATGAGGGTGTTTTAGTTTTAAGTTTGTTGAAGACATAATGCAATTTAACGTCAAAATATATGCATATTGACACGAGAACTGCTCGGACTGATTCTTGCATGAACCATTCTTTCCGACGAGTAGATGAGACTGGTGGTTTTGTGAAGTGATTCAACCGACTCATTGAGAAGATCCGACTCTGACAGAATGAATCATTCACAAAACGTACATCGTTAGAACACGTGGTTTTGTAGTCTGGAAAACCGTCCTCTGTGAAGCTCAACGTGAGTTGTCATTGATTCATTGTTACTGAGCTTATTTTCTAAAAAATCTACAGCACCCCTTAGGGGTTCTTAGCTAGAAATATTTCTAACGTTACTTGTTAAATCTAAACAGCATTTATATTTCCAGTGTCTGTAGTGTCTCACGAATAACAGAAATCATGTGGCTTTTAGCTTTCAAGCTAATTTGTCAATGGATTATGCGTTGAATTTTAACCTGGATGCTTGACGAAACAGCAGCAGCTTCTAATCGTACATATTCAATTGTTTAGTAATTTTCTTTATGCAAAAGACCTTCAGGGACTTGCTGCCTAAACATGACATGCATGTTTATCGTTCACAAATGAAAACTACTGATTTTAGACCCAAACTACTGATTACATTATATTATTTCAGCTAATAATCTGCTCTCCATCTGTGTTAATGTGTCCTGTTTAAGAATGGGCAGTGTGTTGGCTGCCAGTGCCCCCAGCCCTCCTGCAGCAGGGCCAGGTGGACCCGGTTTGGTGTCAGTACCTCCAGGATTCACGATGCCCTCCGTCTCTCCCGTCTCTGTGCCTGGCAGCTCTTCATCTGGGCACCAGGAGACTGAGCCTCCCCTTTCAAACCCCGGTGGCTTTGAAGAGTGCCACCGCAAATGCAAAGGTAAGAAAATAATTACTTTTTAAGTGATTAGGAATCAAAATGATTAACAAAGTAGTTTATATAGAAATTATGTATGAAGTTTATCAAAAGTGACAGCAAAGAATCAAAAAAATGTTACAAAAAATCTCTATTTCAAATAATTGCTGTTTGAACTCCCTTTGAACTTTTGAAAATCCTGAAAAAATGTATCACGGTTTCCACACTGATAAAAAATAAAATTTCTTTGAGTGCCAAATCATCATTATTAGAATTAGAAGATATTGAAGACTGGAGGAATGGCAGCTGAAAATTCAGCTTTGCCATCACAGAAATAAATTACACTTTAAAATATATATTTAAAAAGAAAACCGTTCTTTTAAATAGTAATATTATTACAGTCTTTAATGTATTTTTGGCCATATAAATGCAGCCCTGCAAAACATAAGAGATTAAAAAATTGAAAAATGTTCATTAAAAAACATTTGCATCTTTTTTTAAACATTCAACGTAACATTTACATTAATGACTGATTTATACTGAAAAATGTATTACAAAAAAATCAGCAAATTAATTAATTTGTTTTTCAATTTCATTCAATTTTAATGTTTCTTTACATTTTAATTTGACATAAAAATAAATTTTATATCCTGCTTCCATTGGAATTGAAATGCCATTCTCAATTCAGCTGTATCTTGTTTGACTTTGGATTTACATGATTACAAATTCTAATATTCTTACACTAATATCTGTTTGTCCCTCAGAGGTGTTTCCTGTGCAGATGGAGGGTGTTAGACTAACAGTGAACAAGGCCTTGAGCAACCACTTCCAGGTCAGTCCAGTGTGACCACTGGTGGATTTTCTTGAGCCATGTTGTTGAAGGAAGTATTCTTGATCATAAACAAGATCATCTCTTGTTTTATTTCATAGGTCAACCACACAGTGTTGTTAAGCACTCTAGGAGATTCCAGTTACAAGTTTGGAGCTACTTATGTGGGGACCAAACAAACAGGACCAGCAGAGGTACACAAATTTAGCTTGCGGTATAAATAAAAATATATTTTCCCAGAACAAATGCTGTCGAAAAGTCAGTTTAATTTGAAAAAGGCATTTATTCAAATATGTATAGTTTACCTTAATATTTTTTATCAGGCCTTCCCCGTCATGGTTGGTGACATGGACAACACAGGGAGCCTAAATGCACAGATTATTCATCAGATCACAGACCGAGTGCGCTCGAAATTTGCATTCCAGGTGTGTATTTGTGAAAAGAGCCTATAGGTGGTGCTTTTATGATTAGTTCTAATGTAATATTAATGCATTACTGGACGTATCTGTCTAAATCAGACTCAGCAGCAGAAGTTTGTGAACTGGCAAGGAGATGCTGAATTCAAAGGAGAAGATTTCACTGCTGCTGTGACCTTTGGCAACCCAGACGTCTTGGTTGGGTCAGGTAATTGTCTTCTGTTGCATCCATGTTTATTTGTGCCTCAATTTGAGCTTTATTTCATTAGCTTTATTTGTTTTTAGTCTTGTTAACTCAAACAACGTATTTCCTCTCTGTTTCTCTCCTCCTGTCCCTCCATCTCTCTCAGGAATTGTTGTAGCTCATTATCTCCAGTCTGTTACTCCGTCGCTGGCATTAGGGGGAGAGCTGGTGTACCACCGACGGCCCGGAGAGGAGGGAACAGTCATGTCTCTGGCAGGCCGATATACAGGTAAGCACAGAAAGAAAGAATAGTAGGTATGTATGTGACGTATCAGATTTTCATGCCATGATAATTGAATCTTTATATCATAGTGATGAATTACATTACAAAGTAAGTTGAAAAGATACACAAGTGTTGTCTTTCTAGGCTACATCCACATTAATCTGGATAAACGCATCTTTTTTTCTTTTCTATGCTTTGGCCTTTTGTCCAGTGAAAACAGCTTTTTGAAGATATATATATATATATATATATATATATCTATGTATTTATCCACATACTGTTTTCGAAAATATGGAGATTAATGCAGATGTAGCCTTAAAGGGGTCATATGATGCGATTTCAAGTTTTCCTTTCGAGCGAGCGAGAGAGAGAGCAAGAGAGAGAGAGCGTGAGTGAGAGAGAGAGAGCGAGCGAGAGAGCGCGAGAGAGAGAGAGAGAGGGGGGGGGGTCACATCACAGTGGAGTCAGCTGTCTTAACCGTGGCTTGTGTACTGCAAACACATACCAGCTTCATCACTTTGTCTGTCACGCGACTCTGTTCCCCTTTCGGGCTGTCTTTACATTTATTTTGAAAGATGAAGTTCACGATTATGGTAAGGGGCGTTACATTTCCGACGAGTGCTTGCGGTGTTTGGCCAATCACTATGCACTGGGTCAGCTGGCCAATCAGAGCAGACTGCGCTTGTCGGAAGGAGGGACTTTGTAGAAAACGAAGCGTTTGAGAGAGGCGGGGCATAGAGGACCTACAATAATGTACAGTATTTGAAAAATAATGTGTTTTTTGAACATTAAAGCATGTCAACATATTCTGTTACACCAAATACACCAAATAATGATCTTTAAAAAAGCATCATATGACCCCTTTAATAAAATTTATTAACTTTTTTCAAATAACAATAGAGCCTTTTAAATATAATATGCAATAAAAATGTGCAAAGTAAATAGATATTGTAAACAGATTGTTAAAGTGCAATATTTATTTGAAAACAAATATTCAGTCTGTAAGTTTTATTACCGAATTTTAAACATCTGAATGGGCATTTGCAAACAGGCAGCAACTTTATCGCCACCCTGACACTAGGAGGCGCTGGAGCTCATGGGTCGTATTACCACAAAGCCAATGATCAGGTAAATGTTCATTAGCAGAGTGAGTCATGTCTGTATTTGTTCAATTATGTTATTTTATTGCTTTATAATGACGTTTGTTTTGTTGTTTGGTATTAGTTGCAGCTTGGCGTGGAGTTTGAAGCAAGCACCCGTATGCAGGACACTAGTGTATCATTTGGATACCAACTGGACGTCCCCAAAGCTGATCTGGTCTTTAAAGGTTGGTAAATATGCATGCATTTGTACATACAGACAGCAGTCATCAACACGTGTGCTCCTAAGTTAAAACAAAATGCAAGAGTGCATAAAGAACTTAATAAAAATGACTCAATATAAATGTATTAAGTATTTACTTTTACCTTAAACAAAGGGATATTAGGAGGCATTTACAAGCAAATTGATTACATTTATTTGAATACTAAGAGTACACTAGGTTTTTAAATATTTCTGCTTCAAACTGTATTTAATAATTATGGAATAATGTGTTTTTTAAACATTGAATTAAATGCCAGATACAGTTTATGTAACCAAACAAAAAACAAAGGAAAAGAATAATAACCAGAAAACAAATGTTCTGCATAATGCAGGACTTTTAATTATAAACATGCCCGAAATATGCCAGGGGTCTTATTTTGATATTCTTTACTTTTTGCTTTGAAACCTGCAGTGCTCAAATAGTGATTTAATTATATCAAAGCCTTTTTGAAGTTTAATAATCGCATTAATCCTTATCACATTTCTTGTTTTCCTGTTAAACTCTTTAAATGATTATTACAACTTTTGTTATATCATCTAAAATATTTAAGACGTTTCATGACGTTAAATTAAAAATTGATAATGAATTCAAGACTTTTTATAGTCTTTTTATTCAGACACATACTCTTAAATAAATTTTTTTAAATCAATTTTTAGTCACAAATATGTAATTGTGTCATCATTCATTGAGCAGCATTCCAGTTCAATCTTAATTTAAAACATTTGTGTCGTTCCAAAGAGTGTTGCCTGATATTCCAATGAAAATCCACCCCAGATACCTTACTTTTTACAAAACCTTTATCCTGTCTTTGCATTCTGCATGAGATTTCTTTGGTTAAAATGTATGGGATATGAATTTTTCACTCTCTCTGTAGGTTCTTTAGACAGTAACTGGGTGGTTGGAGCCACGCTTGAAAAAAAGCTGCAGCCTCTGCCTCTGTCACTGGCCCTCAGTGCTTTCCTTAACCACAGAAAAAGCAAGTTCCAGTGTGGGTTTGGCATCACCATTGGTTAATCCTACCTTCTTTCTTGGTTAATGCTGCAGTTTACACACCAGTGCTGTTGTTGGTGAAACGGTAAAGATTGGACACACTTTGCATATTTATCCACATCTGTACAAAATCAGTCAGTAAACATGAAGCAAAATAAAGTAATATTTGTTGTTAGTTCCATGTATCAGACCAACCTTTGCAGTGAAAATTCCAATATCCAAAAAAGTACATTTAAAAACATCAGTACTGCTTGATGCATTATAAGAGAAACCAAGAACAAATACACATATACAATTTGCCTTTCATTTTGTTGTTTACGTTCATTTTTTAAAAAAAAAAGTAAATTATTTCCTTGTTTATTTTTTGTCTTGTGTTTAATGAAGAAGTTCTGGATTCGTTTATTTTTCCTACGCAATGAGCAGGGATTTTTTTCACAATGATTTTAATCAAGTTCCTGGATCTCTATTCATAGGTACCTATATAAATAAAATATATGCATTGCAAGTTTTGTGAAACATGGATAAATTCTTAAAACAAAACACATATCTGTCCATCAAACAGATGCATGTTTATGAATGTATTTTTGTTGGTGTAAATTTTTTTATTTAGAGGTTTTTCATTGTTTTTCTAATGAATTTGTCTGATACACTGTTGTATAGCTGAGAAACAGAAACAAAAAAGCCTATTAAAAACAAAAAAGCCTATTAAAAAAAAAAGGAGATTAAATTCATGTGCTATATTCTATTACCAAATCCTAAATTTATGACATTTGCCACATTGTTATAGTTTTTTCCCCACCACATACAGTGCCTTCATAAACACTTTATAAATATGTATATTGTGTATTGCCTAATAATGTCTCCACACCAAGTATAGTGTGTGTGTGATTAAAGTATGGTTAAGTATAAAACGTATAAATGACTAATTAGACATATTGAATGGTGATAATATTGTGTCTGTAGCTGATATGATTGCTTTACTTGCGTTAACACAGTACATTTTTATTTTTTTTTACCAAGTCCATTGACACCGTCTGGTTTTTATTTTTTTTGTCTTTTAGTTTTTTTAGGTGAATACATGCCAGAGCATAATATAGAAAAATAAAAAATACAAAACGGATTAGTTGTCCCATGTCCCTTGCTTCCTTCTTAGTGATTACATGTTCAGCAGATATCAGACTCTTTTTAAATGCAGATAAGTGTTGTGATGAAGAGGGCAATGTCCAAAAGGATCCTCTTTAATACCTGACTCACCAATCTTCATTACAACAACCTTACGTTAATACGTGCAGACCAACATGCAAAGACAGAGATGTACCTCTGCACGTCAATGATTGTGAGAGAGTACTTCTAGTATATACTTTATATGGAATGTTGTTTCATTGGGACTATAGCAATGCTAAATTTAATTTTCTTTTACCGAACCATACTTTTATTCAAAAAATATTAAAAAGTAATAATATAACCATGTAGTATGCATAACATGAAAACTAGCTGTTTTCATGTTATGCATACTACATACTAAACCGTTGAGTTCTACCTTAAATTCATTTCATTATTATCAAAATATGACCATTTTAGAACAGATGATTTGAGCAACAGTGATGTTAAATACACAGCATATTTTCTGCATTGGAATGCAGCCATAATAAGCTGTGTTCACTGGAATGCAACTGAATCAATATGACAGAAGCTCAGGGGTCAGTTCTCTGTGAACTGATTAGCGCAGATACAAACAGTCTTGATGCCCCGATGGCAGTTTTGTGTAACTGGATGAATGCCTAGACAAGATGGCGAGTGATTTACAATACTGCTTAAAGTAACCTTTTACCTCACTGACATACCACTGATTTCTTCTTTCAACACTGTGTATCAAACCAATAAACACATCAAGTCTGCAGATCCCGTAGTAACCTTATGCTGTTTTCTCATTAATCATTTACTTAATTATAGTCTTTCCTTAATTGCTTAAGGAAAAAATCAAACTAAATACTCACAAATCTTTAGTAGGTGAATGTGTACTTCATTTTGAAAAGTATATGATAACTCTGCATGCACAGGAAACCCTCTTATTGCTAAATGTGGCTTGCGAGAATGTTACCTTGAATTCATGCCTAAAACATTATGTAAAGTAAACAGAATTATGGTGTAGATGTAGAATATATGGGCTAAAAACATTATATTATATCAGGGATTTTTTTTATTCACTTAACACTGGAAGATTTTTTAATAAAGTTTTTTACATTTTACATTTTTTTGTAAAAATGCATTTAAATGTAAAATATTTAACAGTAAAATTGTCCTTCCATTAAAATAGCCATGGGAGCTAGCATGGTGTTAAAAAACAGTTTTTCCCCCAATAATGAAGGCAATTTTCCTCAAAACTATGTTCCAAAACAATACTTTAAACTAAACCAAAACTAATAATACAGGAATTGTTTAAAATGTGATAGTATATATATATTTTTTTTTATTATTACTGTTTTCCCTTTTCCTTCATTTGGATGTTTTTAAGTTTTATAGGACATTAATTTTAGACTTCCTTGTTATACAGTACTTATATCTGACTCTGTAGGAATAATTGTGAGTCACAGATCTGAGTTCAGTTGGGTTGATTTCATGATGTGGAATAAGTGACATGGCATGTACAGCTGACAGCAGGGCACTGCCTTCTGGACTTTACTGCCTTTATCAGAGCTCGGCAACCCATTTAAATACAGTGTTGATACCTTCTCAACACTTACACACAGAAGAGGACAAGAGAAAGGTAAGGAACTGGACAAAAACACGAATTAATGCATACTTACTGTATGTTCTTTTCAGTTAAATGCAAGCTTGTCAAAAATATTTATAGTGGTCTTGCCTGACAACATTTTTTTTTTTTTCTTGTAGCATCTGCGCATAATCATGAAGGTCCTGGTAGTGTTTGTCATTGCAGTTTTCACTGGTAAGTGTTTGTTTGTTTTAGTGTTTGAATAAAAATTGGAGGCGCTCTCAAAACTGGTCAGAAAATTTTATGTTTTAAACCAGTTAATATATTTTAATGATGATGAATCCTTTAGGTTGTCATGCCAGTATGTTGTGGCAGGACCAGTCAGCGCCCAGTATGGATCTGGTGAAAAACGCATTCTGGAATTACGTGTCTCAGGCAACCCTCACAGCTGAGGACACCCTGCAGATGATCCGAAACTCAGAACTGGGTCAAGAAATCAAGTAAGCATATAAAATGATGAACTGATGAACCGGCTATAAAACAAATCATAAAACTTTGAAAAACACAAACATCTATCTCCATTTCTCCTCAGTGACAGGATCTCTCAAAGTGCAGATGCCATCAACAAATACACCCTGGCCATTCAAAGTCAAGTAACTCCTCTGACTCAAGACCTGATGGCCAAACTTTCCCAAGAGGCAGATCAGCTGAAACTGCGCCTGGAACAGGAAATGACATCTGTGCAGTCCCATCTCAAGCCTTACGTTGAGGAGATCAGAGGTGATATTGAGGAGCAGGTTGAGCGGCTGAAGAAGGATGCGGCCCCATATGCAGAGGCCCTGAACTCTGAGGCCCTGAGATCTACTCTGGTCCAGGGGGCCGAGGAGCTGAAGGCCAAGCTGGAGAGAAGTTTGATGGAGATGGGTCCTCAAACCGAGGAGCTGAAGCAGAAACTGGACCAGCACTTTTTGGAGTTTCAGATGAGCATGTCACCATTAGCCCAAACCTTTCAGAGTCAGCTGGCCCAAAGAAGTCAGGAGCTTCAGAAGAATCTGGCTCCCTATTCAGAGGAGCTCAGCAAACTGGATCCATACGCTCAGGACCTGAAGACCCAGTTAACAGCTCTCTGGGAGTCCTTTGCCAAGAACAAGCAGTCTTGAGAGACTTTTGGGAAATGCAAAAGGACACTTCTGTTACCATTGAGGGTTTCACATAGTATATTTCTTTGTTGCTCATGTATGTTTTTCAACAAAAAAACATTTATAAAATAGCACAAACACTAATTTATAATGCTGTGGTCACTCCAATTGTGTGAGGGTTTTTCAAAAAAAAAACAACAACACAAACACTATGTCTAATATACTACACTACGTATATTTGTAATGCTGTGGTCCATATGCAAGATTTTAATTGCAGAAATGTGTGCGAGGCTTCTGAACTTTTATTTAATTCTGGCAGCCCAAATATGATTACTTAAAGCTGGAATAAACATTAGACATCATACATTTGACTTTCCAACTACTAAGGATCACACACTATACCAGACTTTTTCCAAGTCATTGTGAGCACAACAAAATCACACAGAAACATGAGCCTTTTTGCTAAGACATGACAAATAAAAACAAGTGAGTCTGTGGCCATCACACACTATGCGAATTTCTGTGAACTCTGTCGACTGCCCAAAATCTGCAGACTGGCTCTGACTTTCAGCAACTAGCATCTACTTGTCCAGACTGCAAATATCTGTATAAAAATCATGTATGTATTCCAGTCTTTAGAGCCACAAAGGTAGCGGACTAGGAGTGATACTTGGATAAGCACCCAAGTTGTCCATATGCAAAAAAAAAAGTGAATGGCTTTATCTTTATTTGTTAGTCAGACAAAAGAACAAGGGTTCAAATCCTGTTCATTTTGACAACACCCTGTTACCAAGCACCCAGCTATTTTACTTCACACTTCAATTTTAAGGTCATGTGGTTTCTGAACCCTATGAGGAATGTTTTACCTACTTTTTTGTAACATTTCAAATAGCCAGGATAAAAGTGTGTCGACCCACAATATATAGGGCTTGACATTATCAGTTATTGATTGTCTGTGACCAACAAAAAAAAAAAAACTGGACTACTGAAACATTAAAAGAGCAAATACAGCTGTGAAAATGTATAATGTATCCCTTTTTCATGGTTGCACCTATACATGTTAAATAATAAGCATAATATCTTAGGTAATAATAACAATATAAAACTAAATGTGATGAACAACACTGAAGCATTGTCAATTACGCATCTGATATATATTTATATTTCAACTGAGGCCTATTAAACAGATGTTTTTTTTTTACAAAACAACCTATTATTTAATCTATTTATTATGTGTGGTACGTGAGCCAAAATGAGTTTATCACAGTCCTCTTGCACAAAGTCTTCATGCAAGAAATGCTCAAGATAATAGACTGATTCTGATTTGCTGACATGATATCTTATCCTGTTTTAGTTTAAAACACAATGACATTTTCCCATAATTGATTGGTAACTGTAAATCAGACGTCCTGTAGAAAATAATATCATCTATAAAAAGAAGCCAACAATACATGCGCACAGGAAAACATGGCTACATGAGTCAAGTGTTCTTAGCTTGCTGAGCTTAAAGTTACAGCTCCATTTTAAGCATTACAATGCTCCTTCCAAATAGGGTGAATGTGAAGTACAGTGATAAAATCACAACTAGAAGAGAGATAAATGATAAGCTCTGATCCTTGAATCATGCAAGCCAAGATGCTTTTTAGTAGCAAATGTCTTGTTGCATAACAATGAAATATTAATTATTATGCAACAAATGTCTTTTTTTTTACATTAACATCAATGTCCCACTTTGTATGACTTGGTCCATCTCTTTTCTGCTGTTTTATGATTATTTTGGTATTAACAATTCAATAAAAATACACTGATGTTCAAATATGACATTGTGACTTTGTTCTGTACTTTCACTGAGATACCTCTGGCTACAACACCTAACCCAATGGGCCACATTCATTTTTAATAAACCAATTTTTAAATTATAGTACATCTTGTCCTTTTGGAACCTTATTCATGCAACGTGGAATGGAAGACTGTGATAAACAAGTATCTGAAGAGAAGAACTTTGGACACAAGCTGCCAATTCACCTGTTCATAGTCACATTATGGCTATCAACATGACTGTGATCCAAGTCATATAAATGCCAGCTGCTTCCAAACTCCCATTACAGAACACATTGGAAAATCTGTCTGGTGTACTGTCCAAAAACAATCATGAAGTTTGTGGCTGTAATCCTTGCTCTCGCTGTTATTTCAGGTAAGAGACCACCAACGAACGCAAATATTCAACAAATTCAAAATGTATCTATGCTTATGCTTAGAACTTGGATTACTTCGGCAGATCATTTGAACGGATTATGTGATGGTTTTCTTTGAGAGCTTGATGGTACAGATGAGGTGTCTACAACAACGGACTACATTAACAAATATTTGACACATTAAAGAATATATTTGTGCTCCATTCTGACTTTGCAGGCTGCCAGGGGCGCTTCCTGTTTCAGGATGAGCCAAAAAGCCGCTGGGAAGAGGCAGTTGATCAGTTCTGGAACCATGTGTCCGAGCTGACCTCTAAGGCTGAGGAGATGAGGGACAACATCAAGGCCACTCAGCTCAGCAGAGAATTAGAGTGAGTAAATGCTACAAAACATTGTAGCAGAGCAAATATCTGAGAATTTGTAAAGATCTGTAAAGATGCAGAAAAGGCTAGACTCAGTGGAAATTGAAGTCCAGAGTTAAGAAAGCTGATGTATGATATCGAAATTCATTGCTTTGCAGCACACTGATCAGTGACACCATGATGGAGCTGCAAATGTACAAAGATGACTTGCACTCCAAACTGGGCCCTTATGCACAGGAGACTGCCAAGAGATTCAATGAAGATGTTCAGCTGCTGGTGAATAAGCTCCGCACACATATGGAGGACGCTAAGGATCATGTCAATGAATACATAGTGGAGCTCCAAACCATTGTGGAACAGAACGCTGATGAGGTCAAGAACAGGGTCAACAACTATGCCAAGAAACTAAGGAAACGTTTTAACAAGGACATCCAAGAGATCAACAAGTGAGTGACAGCAGTAATGATCTAATCACAATTATTGCATATCTTTTGTTACTAAATTACTAACAAATTACTACATTACTAAACTACATCTAAATTACTAATTTAGAGTATTTTCATCAAATAAATGCAACCTTGGTGAGCATAAGAGACTTCAAAGAGAACATTCAAAAATATTACCAACCCCATATTTTTGAATGGTAGTGTACATAGCAAACTTCATAACTTACTGTTCTTGTATATATCACTGTTTAATATTGGACATCATTGTTCAATATGCCTTAATTTGACACTGACAGTTTAAGGATGTACATTAAATAAATAAAAAGATTCACATTTTGATTTTGATATTTCCATTACCTTAGAAGGAGAAATAGATATGATAGTCAAAAGATAATTAATAAAATAGATATGCACTTTTACAATTTTTTTATAAAATAAAAATAATAATATATACATTCTATATAATATATAATTTTTTATAAAAATATATTTTATATAAATT